GGTGTGGTGCTGTACTGCTCGGGTGCGGGCGGGTGACGGTCTCCAAAAATGGACACATGCACGACTCTGAGACAGACTATTAATAAAAATGTACTCAAACATGTGTGAATGAAACAAAACACAACTCCGGGTATGTTTTTGATGAGGTAACATGGTTTAGAGCTCACAAGAGTGTGTTATACGTGACCTTCCAAGCAAAACATTTACTCCTAAGACAGTTGCCTATATTAAATTTTGTATATTTGGAAACGATTTTTACATTTGGACTAAAGCCGGGTGAAGTGTCTCGCCCAAGGACACAATGGCGGTATGCATGGGGCTGAGCGGATCTAGAACCAGCAGCCAGAGGGCAAACCGTGCTCCTGCTGAAGTGTCCTCATCGTACTGAATATTTGCTTCGAAAACCGCGGCATGCTTTTGTACGGAACTGTAATGGACTTTTAGTTGGAAAATACATGAAGTAGTGAGTAACTGTGTTCAGATGTACTCTTTGTGTGTGTCCCTGAGAGTCATGGATGGCACTGTTAAATAAAATCAATAATAAAGAAAAGTATATGACTAAAGGCCTACTTATGCTGCTACTGTCTCCATGGAAACAGGGAAGTTCAATGACATACATACCAGTAAAGATAACTGTGTGCACGATTGTCAGCGGAATGGGTGCTGTTTTCCTCTCTTTGTCGAAAAGCGTTCTTGATAAATGGCATGTGCAAAATGAAATGCTTTGATTACTTTACTACTTATATTAACCTCCTGCACCCCTCGGTACATTTTTGTACATCTCAACTTTTCTTTTTTTGCATAACTTTGGCTATATACTGCACCAAATAGCCCCAGTTTGTGTATTTTGTGATGTATTTTTAATTTCTGTTTTTTTTTTTTTTTCAAGATCACATTAATTGAATGGACTATAATCAAAATACTCACACCCGTGGTCCTTATGTATATAACTTTGCCAGTATAATTTAACTTTTTGATTTATTTTGCATTCTTTGGTGTTGAAAACCCTTCAATTTTTATTTATTTATTAATTTTTTAGTTTTAGTGTCTTTTTGAATGTTTTGATGTTTTTCTTTTTGCTGTGTATTACAAGGTTATATCAACAGAAAGACATTTGTATATATTAGTCCAGACTGAAGGTCAGAGAAAGATATTTGAGGTTAAAGTGGTATGGGTGTGTTATAGAGGAGCCCTGAGCCTCTCATAATCCTAACACACAACACAAACAAATAAAAAAATATTTAAATTAATTAATGAAAATTTTTATGCACATAATTTGAGATGTTGCTGTCAAAAATGGCATTTAAGGGATTAAAATGTCAAAAATGCTATATAATATTTGGTATGTATGATTAGGGCAGAAGTAAATGAAGACACTCATATAAAAAAGTTGGACAAAAATCCGTACTGTGTAAAAAAATATTGTAGTATTCTTTTCCAGTGTACATTTTTGTCATGAAGGACTACAGGGTGTGATCATTTTAAAAGAGTGTACAAAAGTTAAATATATCAATAATCTCAATAATAAAGAAGATTTTGTGCTTTATTTTTGTTTTCTTTGTGGACATACTGGCTTGTCAAAGTGTGATCCCGTCAGATCTCAGAAGCTAAGCGAGGCCGGGTCTGGTTAGTTCTTGGATGGGAGACCACTGAGAAAAACAGGTGCCACAGTGGGGCACCAGTCACAAAAAAGTGTCACTGTGTCCTTAAGCAAGGCACTTCACCCACATCGCCTAGTGCGTGAGTGTTTGTGGTGGTCGGAGGGACCGATGACGTCGATTGGCAGCGGTGTTTCCGTCAGTCTGACCTAGGGCAGCTGTGGCTACAAAGTGAACGTGTGTCAACGATTGCAAAAACGTACGTACATTTTATAGCCCACATATGCAGGACAATAGAAGCACACGCTGACATACATCGAGAAAGTTTCAGCATGCTCCAAATTTTTCGATGACCTTGCCGCATGTCGCCTTATGCCAGCAGCTTCAGAGTGCTGATAACTTACACGAAACTTAAGCTATAACTTATCCGACGTACATTAGTTTATTTGCCAATTTTTTCATACGTCGGCATACACTGGCTAAATTGTCAAGGTGTGACAGCCCCATTCACACCACCGGGTATGAATGAATAATGACCTGTGAAGCATCTTTGTGACATATGTCTGTGAAAGAGCACTATATCAATAAAAAACTTACTTACTTAAACCTATTTGTTTTTATCTAAAAGATACACAATTGCACTACCAAAATGAGTAAAAGTGATTTATTCCTATTATCTTCATGCAATGCCTTTTCTTTGCTGGAGTGTTTCACAGTATGGCATTAAAAGTATCAGGCTTGCATTTATAAAATTTTTAATTACAAAAAAAAAAAAAAAAATACTGTGAACCAGGTTGCCTGTCCACAGACCTTACCTGTAATTTGCGTCTATGGAAACAAATCATTTTAATACCATACTGTGGAACATTTCAAACAAAGTAAGTAAGTAAGTAAGTCTTTATTTATATAGCACTTTTCACATATGTCACAAAGATTCTTTACAGAGCATTTTTTCATACATTCATTCTTCTTTTTCTCCACACCTGGTGATGGTAGAGTTACAGCTGCCCTGGGGCACACTGACGGAAGCGTGGCTGCCATGCCAATCAGCGACATCGAACCCTTCAACCACCACTAACACTCACGCACACACCACTTTCATACTAGGCAATGTAGGTGAAGTGTCTTGCCCAAGGACACGATGACAGTTTTTTTGTTTTAGTTTTTTTTTTTTGTGACTGGCGCCCCCCTGTGGCACCTGATTTTCTCAGTCCTCTCCCATCCAAGTACTATCCAGACAGTTCCAGCCGGTTCCTGTCGCATATTAATCCAATCTCTGGAGGTAGGATTCAAGCGCCCACAGTTGAATCCTGTCATTGTGTCCTTGAGCAAGACACTTAACCCATTTTGCCCCGATTGTCTGCGTACACTGGTGTATGAGTGTGTGCGAATGTGCATGAGAATGGGTGAGTGGTTCCTTGATGTAAAGCGCTTTATAAAAACAAGACCATTTAACACAATTCATTACAACAGATTTAATTCAAGTTGGAAGTATGTTTTTTTTGGTGTTATTTTCTCACCTGCATCGAAAAACGTTCTTGATAAATCACACCTGCCCTGTCCACAGTCTGTTTGGCTTCCCTTCGCCTCCTCTCATTTGAAACAGGGGCCACTCTTTGGTTTTTAATTGCTCTGTTTTCTGAAATTTGGCTGGAGCGGCGGTCCAGCACAAGCACGCTTTCCCTGCCCCATCTGTTTCGGTCTCGCTTTACTGGAGAATGATCTGAAGTGAGAACCATATGCACACAATGCCTTGGCTTTCCCGAATGCTTGGCGTCGACAATAGCGACAGGAGCAGCAGCAGCACTAAGCGAGCGTACAGTCACCTGGAGAATGAGAGGCAGATTTGTGTTTTGAGGTTTTCTGAACACAAAATGACAAGTTAGATCCACGTGAATAATCACATTACATCACCAAAACTTTGAGGCGATTATTGAGTTCAAAATGCACTGCAATAACCAATATTTTTCTATAAATTAGACCATTTTAGTGTGTTTAAAGAAATGTATTTTATCTATCAGAAACTTGTAAGAGCCATGTGCGCGTTATCGTAATCACACTTTAGGATGAGGGTTTTTAAATGAAATTTGAAATCAATTTTGAGATACTGTAGGTCTGTTTAATTTCAAGATTTGTTTTCAATCAGAAAAAATGTCAAATTATTAAAAGTGCATTAAAGGTTCACTGTGTAACTTGGCAGTGGAGGGTCTCTCAAATGCTTTTCTTCCGTGGAGATGTCATTGTGCTGCCTGAAATGTTCCATACATCCATGACATTAAACAGGTCCAGCTTACATTTTCGAAATTATAGGGGTGTAACAGTACACAAAAATCTGAATTCGGTACATACCTCGGTTTTTAGGTCATGGTTTGGTTCATTTTTGGTACAGTATGGTAACAAAACGCTAAAATATTTGTGTGTTTATTAAACCAACGATTTGTTTTAACATTATACAAACGGGAAAATAAAATAAATGCAAAGTGTTGCTTGGTAATATTATGAAGTTCAATAAAATATTCTCAAATAAGCAACAAATGTATGAAATATTATAAAAAATAAATTCCTGATAAACAGTAAACAAAACTTTTCAAAAATTTAAGCGCAGCACTAACAGTTCCAGCATGACATTTTACTCAATCTTTATATTTTTGGCCAGAAAAAAAAACAATTTGTCCACATTGTCTGAAGTAGGTGCAGATCTGCTGGCAGTTAGAATGTCCCAGCGATTAAAAATATCCTTTTGCTAGGACAGATGGTATGAGGAGGTATCGGGAGTGAGGTGTAAATTCCGTCATAGTTTTGCGAGTATTCATGTGGTTCAGAGGGATGTCGTCGAGGCAATTGTGAATATTAAAGAGCCGAGCCTTGTGGGTAGCTGCACATGTACTGGAGGAATGTAAACACACACAAATTGCGCGAATTCACTCGTGCACAGCCCTGCACCGAATTGAACGTCCTGTACAGATACATGTACCATTACACCTCTCTACTAAATTACAGGTGAGCTGTTAAAAAAAAAAAAAGTAGATCAGATTTGTTCTGGTTTGGTCTCTGTGAAGATACAAAGGTTTAATACCATAACCACGAAAACATTCCTCCAGCAAAAAAAATTACACAATGCACCTTTAAGTGAACATGTTTACCCATTTCGAGAGCAATTTTCTTTCTGCATGTGTAGATAATCTGGATTAAACATTATAAAAAATTTAAAAAAAAGATAAATTATATGTCCAAAGTAACATGGAAAAAGTCAAATTCACTTTGACATTAAAACAGTTGGACTTTTTCAGTGTATGATTCAAATAACAGTGTTTTCAGCTACACAGCGTCTTGTTTTACTCATCGTTTTTGCCTGTAATTTCCTTTGACTAAATCCATTCTTGTTTTCTTGTGTCTTTTCAGACTCTGAGGTGATCTACAGAAACAGCGATGGACACGTCATCAAGTTCAACATCCTCACCAACGAAACAGACATCCTGCTGGCCAACACCACTTTTGTACGTCTAAACGATACACGTATAATAAGTACTGGTACATGTGGGGTAATAGGTTGTGGGTTCAATACCGGGGGAAAAGAGCAATGGGTAGAGGAGCCAATATTAACGTTACTTTAAAATCATACGACTCAAGTAGAAGTACAAAGCAGTGGCTCGAATAATTGGAGTAAAAAGTATTTGGAGAAACTACAACTTTGTAATTAGACAGAGACAAATAATTAAATAATGCACAGAATAGACACAAAAGTTACAAAATGAAATCATATCATGCAAAAACGTGCACATTTAAAACGTACTTTTGTACTTTCTTAAAGCTTTTGTCGCTTGTAGACTTACTCACAGTGGGGAAAAGAACAAAAACTTTTACTCTAGTACAATTACTTCAAACAAAATATGACCGAAGTAGGAGTAAAGGTATGGTCAGAAAAGTACTCTAAAAAGCTACAGGTGCTTAAGTAAACGTAACTGAGTAGCAGTGGTGGAATGTAATAAAGTAAGAGTAGTAAAGTACTGTAGTTAAGTATAAATTTGATAGTTTGAGACCTGCTGGAAAGTCTGGGGGTTTATTTGTAACACATTTATAGTTTGAGCAAACACAAACATACAAAAGAGAAAAACTCTAGGAAAAAACAACAGATTTAATTGTTTCTTTTGAACAAAATTCAGCTCAAGTCTGTATCGAAATCATCACATTTGAAGCTTTATTAGACCTCAAACTCTGTGCAAATACTTAGACTTTTTACTCTTTCAGTACATTTTTAAACAGATACTTTAATGCTTTTACTGAAGTAGATGTTTCCATGTGACACTTTTACTTTTGACTGAGTATTTTTTGCTCTGGTATGTGTACTTTTACTTCAATAACAAAAGTGAGTTCTTCTTCCACCACTGTTGAGTTCTACTGCACTTTTACACAATTTATGTCCTACTTAAAATAGTGATTCAATGTAATTTCACTGGTATTCAATGTCCTTCAAACTTGATTCTACAACTTTAAATTAAACCTTTATCAGAATCTATGTTATTGGATTGCTAAGTCCTTGCTTGGAAAAAAACATGTTGATTTTGAGTTTCTGGTGAGAAGCAGAGGTGCAATGATTTCCAAATCTAATCTCACAAACCAAAAATGACCAATGTTCTAATTTACTGAGATGCACTTATTACATATAATTACTATTGACAACACTGTAAATGATGTTTTAACTGAAGTTAATTAGAATAAATTGAGCTTAACTTGTGTTTTGTAAATAAATCAAACTCATTACGATCATTTCCATCTGTTTTCACCTTTTACATTACAGCGTGTGACACATTCATATTTTGCTCTCATCTTTTTTTCATATATTCACTGAGTTTCAGCTTTTTGCTTTAAGTAACATTTTGAGGACTTTTTCATAATCAAAAGTTACCTGGCCAATCAGTCTGGGCACCTCTTACTTTTTCGAAACTTAAGCCAGAACCAAACGTGACCGTACATTCAGATTTATTTCAGTGACACATGCAAAACTCATTGGTCACTCGTCATTTAGAACAAAGGTACTTTTCTCTCACTTCAGATTTATAAGGAAAGGAATATAAAGCCTGGATATGGAACTTTTCAAAAATCACTGATAGCCCTTGCCAGTGTTCTACCTGAACGCCTTCACTGAACAATAGTTCATGAACTCATTCATATTTGGGGCCAACGTGAACTGAACACTCTGTCTTCCTGCCTGATGAACGAACTGTGGACGTGTTCATCTGGTGTCTATGAACAGCATATGGAATCTATTCAACTTTGTTCAACAGGGTGCCAGATTTCTTTCAGTGTCCAGGAGAAACCCGGCCCTTAATATTTAGTGGAAAAACTTTCAATCTGGCAACGACACTAGCCACTGCATGCTTCATCGAAACAAGACAAAACCCAAAATATGGATTATCAGAGTACGTCACTTGGTGCTCTACTGTGGATGTCTCCTACAGACAGAGCCGCTGTCCTGTCTGGTATCATGTCAGTGTCTTGGATTTCAGCAGACAGTGATGCTGTAATAAAATGTTTTAGTGCACTGACAATAGCTTGTTAACTCCGCGATTTCATGTTAACTGCACAGACAGCGGCATTTTCTACACTCTCGCGTCTATACTGGAGGGGTGAAAGCTGCAGTTGCTCCTCGTGTGGACTAAACGGAGAGCAACACTCGGGAAATGCTGTTCCCTAAATACTCATGTGAACCCTGGTTGGATAAGGATACAAAATGTGGTATATAAATCTATCACATAGTTTCATTGTTAAAACTGATCAAATAATTGCTGTCTGTGGTTCTATATGGATTTTGACGATGATATTGTCCCTGATTGGCTAGTCCACCTGTCAATCACACCTATCTGAACTCTGAGAGACTCACCGCTATGAAAACATTTTTATTTTTCATCACTCTCATCTTTGAACACTGGCCATGTTTACATTATGCTTTTAATTGTGAAATAATAGTTCGGAATGAAATAGTTCGACATTTAAACATTCTCCTTCAAGTTTACATGGAAATAATAATTCTGAATTGAGATTTCAATGGAAAACATGTTAAATTGCCTTTATTTAATTCCACTCAACATCTGGGAATTGGGAAGGGTTCTGATAAATACTAATATATGTACTTCTATCAGAAGAAAACACACACTTCAGCTGCTACTGACTTTTTTCTCATCTTGGTTTGTCGTTACGCCATGGACACAAACACGATCCAAACTTTTTTCTCAATCGTTCCGATGATAATTGCGCAGCAGCTGGAGAATTCTCTCATCACTCTTTACGTCTGTCAGCTGAGGAGGAGAAGGGAGGAAGAAAACAAACTGAGTCGACGGCTGCTCTACCTCAGCCCACTCCCACATCCAGCTCACAAATCCAAAGAGACGTGGATAAAAGTCTGAAGCCAGGACTGGTGGAGCCGGATTGTCCAGATCGCGTCAGAAGGGCGACACAACGAGCATGTGCTGAACGACCAGAATTATTTTTAAGAAGAATAAACGCTTACATGATTGAGAAATAAATTAATTCAGCTTTAAAATGGGAATAAACCACCTACTTACTTCATTCTGAATAATCATTTTCATTAGGTATTAATAGTTTTCATGGTCTTTTTAAAGCTGAATTGATTTTTATTCAGAATTTAATCATGTTTATTCAGTATTAACGCTCTCATGTAAACGTGGCAACTGAGGAATTTAACTCACAACCATTACAGGAACGATAGACAGACGAACCACTCATGTGACATTTAACACATATGTTGTTTTTCATTACGCAGAAAATTAGTCACTGATGTATGATTCATCTATTAGTCAGTTTCTTCCATCCTCCCCCTGTTGTTAAAGGAAGTACACAGTGTTCAAGTCAATGTTATTTTTCTTCTTTATTTCTCTCCTTTAGATCAATTTCAACGTGGCCAAGTACTCCCTCTCTCCTGACCTCAAATACGTACTGTTCGCGTACGACGTCAAGCAAGTAAGAGACACTCACCATTCACCGCATCTCCACTCTAGAGCCATACACTTCACACTTCTATGGGAATTAATGAGAGTCCATTCAAACAAGAAACTAAATGATACGTTCCTTTGATGATGGTTCTGTGAGGTAGTGTAGTGGCCATTTTTCACTGCCAGGCACACGAACACCGAGCGTATAAGCAAGCTGTCCGTGTAAAAGCAGATAACAGGTTTGATCATTCTCTAATTTTGATTATAATTGTACTTTTAGACTGATTAAGAAGCAATTTGGGGAGAAAAATTGAAAAACATGTTGAAAATGACAGGAAGACATCGCAGCAGGAAGAGTTCTACCCAAAAATTAGTAACAATTACCCGCTAGAAACAACCAAATGAAGGTGTTTTGTTATATATTTTTTGGCAAATATTCATTTTTGTGTACATTTAAGGGGTTTTGGCATAGTGGAAAATATGGTTGCTAGGTAACAGCTGTAGAATTCCCTATTGTGACGTGATGATTTCCAACAAGGAAGTCAAATTTGAAACCTGAAAAAAATTCCAAACTGGGGATATATATAATAATAATTATTATTATATATATATTTTTTATATATGTTTCCGCATTCTATATACATGCATACATTTATAGACATATTAGGGATGTAACAATATCCAAATCTCTCAGTATGATATTATCACAATATGCATCTCACGGTACAATATTTATTGCAATATTTGGAAGAGGCTAATGTAATTGTAGATAGGACACTTTTCTGATTTTGCTGTGAATTATTTCTGTCATAATCCCAAGAATTCAAGTAAAAAACATATTTCATCATGTTGTTTGCACTGAAATGAATCATGGGATATGTAGTTCCCGATGTTTATAAGCTGTTGGTAATGGGTCCGATCAAGTGGTAACGGAGGGAAACAGGGGCAGATTTTTGACATTCAAATGTCTCTTATTCAGAAACTAGAGGGACTATTGAAATAAGTAAAGTATCAGAATGTAGGAAAGAGTTACACTCCAACAGGGTCAAGTTAAACCTGTGATATTCTTTCAAGTTGTTGACAAAAAATTTAAAAACTCATGTCGGTAACAGAGGGAATGAAATATGCAGCACTTTTTGGGGCAATAAATACAAACAGTGATAACTCTTGGTTCTCACTTACATATCCTTAACAAACTGGTTTGAATATTTGCTTCATGTAGTTTTCTACCATATGGTACAAGATTAGGTTGAAAAACCTCTTACTTTTGAGTAATGAGATTTTTTATTAAAAAAGGTCATGGTAACGGAGGGAAAAGTAACGGAGAGAAAATTGTGCAAACAAGTAGAAGGTGCAGGATTTTGCATAATTTGTCGCTTTTTTCTTCTGAATACTTTAATATTACTTCAAAATGAAAGGAAACTATTTCTATAAAATATGTCAGTCCTTCCAAGCAAATTTTTATCAATACTTTTTTTTTTTAAATCATGTACCTTCATCAACAGTTCAAAGATGGAATAACACAAGATATGATGAAATACATCCATTTATTGACATGATTTGCAGGTCTGTGAAATTTGGGAAATAATTTTTGTTCCATGTTTCATACATGGTCTGTTTAAAACGTATGGAACTTTAGAACCAAAAATGGTACAGAAAAAAGGTCAACAGTTTCATAAACTAGAGTACATATGTATCTGTTCAATACATTTTTATATCAGATGCATTAACTTGAATTTTTGGCCTTGTGTTTACTTCTGCTTGACTGGGCCCTACTATAAAACCATGCATTTAAGCAAAAGAACTTATGATTTGATATACTGTGACAGCTCTCGATATTATTGTGAGACTTTTGATGATACAATATCATGATCATTCGTTTATTGTTACATCCCTAACACATATGTATGAAGTCAGATATATGGAATTGTGTAAGAAAGAAAAAAAAGGTCAATAAGTCTATTAATAACTTAATATATATATATATATATAAATTGTTTACATTTTATATTGTACAGAATAATCCTGCACACCGTCCTACTTGCAAACTGTGGGATTTATCAGGACAATCTGTGCAACAGTTTGGCACTAGGCCTTCATCAGGAAAAGAGATGTTTCCCTGATAAAGGAATAGTGCCGTCTTAGTCAACATTCTCCGGGGGTGTGATGCTAACTGTAGGCACTGCTCTCATTTAGTAGAGTTATTTTCTTTGCATGAGTAATAGAGCTTCAGACAGAGCAGTGCCTCCAGTTAGCATCACACCCCCAGAGAATGTTGATGACGTGAGCTGCAAAGTATTCATAAAACTTATCTAGCATTTATTCAGTTAAGTTATGTGTTCATATTGTTAAAGAATGACCTTGAAAAAGACGCATTGTCACTGTGAGCAGGGTCGCCTCTCCGCAGATCTGACCCATAACCTATCCAGCTGTTCACCTGCTTGTATCCATGGACACAATGAGATAAAAACATGGCAAAGCAAATACTTCCCAAAGTATGTAAAAGTAGTCCAATGCAGTCACAAAAGTGGAATAGAAAGACAAATCTAAAATGGCATAAAGAGAGAGGATGATTGACAGCCAGCAGGAGCCTCATGTCAGTACACATTTTCATATTTTCTCATGTGAGATAATCCACTCCCTCTCACTCGAAATGATGGGCTATTGTCAGATTTGTATGAGGTCTGTCTGTCATGAACAAGTGAGCTATTTCTAAACACTCAGAAGAATTCAGCTCTTCTGATTTAAAAGGTGTTCATGTGTAAAAGTCCAGACTAAAGGTGAACTGCACATTCAAACGGCCTCCTGCACTTTGTCTGATCTATGTTATAATTCCTCATCACAAACAGACCTGGAGTTGTGTTTTGTTTCTTTCACACATGTTTAACACACAAATCCTCCAAATTCTACTCTCAAACTGAAAAAACAATACGCACGTTAAAGCAGCAGGTTAAAGCAGGTTAAAGCAGGTTAAAGCAGGTTAAAGCAGGTTAAAGCAGGTTAAAGCAGGCTGAAGCAGGCTGAAGCGGGTGTGATTGATAGTTCCTCTTTATGTCTGTCTCTGCGCACAAGGAGCTGAAAATGTAGCACCATCGATCATGTTATATCTGACTGAATGAGCAATTGCTCTGACTAACTTTGGCATTTCTTCACTTTGGTGTTAGAGCAGGGGTCCCCAACCCCCGGGCCGTGGACCGGTGCCGGGCCGTAGGTCGTTTGGTACCAGGCCGCGAAAGCGCGAACTCCTCTTCCCATACGCCGTGTGGTCTGCACCTCCTCCTGTGCTCCACGTAGACCACGCCTCCTCCCATGTTTCTTGCACCTCTAAACCAGGACTAAAACCAGGACTAAACCAGGTCTAATCCAAGTCTAAAAAACCAGGACTAAAACCATGACTAAACCAGAATTAAACCAGGACTAAACCAGGACTAAACCATGACTAAACCAGGTCTAAAGCCATGACTAAACTAGGACTAAACCAGGACTAAACCAGCTCTAAAACCATGACTAAACCAGGTCTAAAACCAGGACTAAACCAGGTCTAAACCAGGTCTAAAACCAGGACTAAAACCATGACTAAATCAGAATTAAACCAGGACTAAACCAGGACAAAACCATGACTAAACCAGGTCTAAAACCAGGACTAAAACCATGACTAAACCAGGACTAAAACCAGCACTAAAACGAGGTCCAAACCAGGTCTAAAACCAAAACCAGGTCTAAAACCAGGTCTAAAACCAGGACTAAAACCATGACTAAACCAGGTCTAAACCAGGTCTAAAACCAGGACCAAAACCATGACTAAACCAGGACTAAACCAGGCAAAAAAGGTTGGGGACCTAGATTAAACTATTAAACTTTTTTTTTTTTTTTTTTTTTAATGATGATGACTTTACTTTACTGTTTATATTCTCATTTCATTCATAGTGCATGTTTATGATATTTTTGTGTACATTTTGACTGTAACTTTTCCCTCATATGGAATTCTGCAGACCGTACCCAGCTGAAGGCCATGCCGTGGAACATTTTACGCATAGCAATAACATCTCCATGGAGACTAGAGTTACACAGTGACTAAACACCTCAACTCCTCCCACAAACACATTTCAAATAGATCTGCTAACGTGGGCTGTACTTGGAGGACTAAAGGAGAGCGGGAGGGAAAAGGAAGAGAGGGAAGAGTCAGGGGAGTCTTGTGTGACGTCACATAGTACTTGAAATGGCCTTTGGAAGTAGGACACACACAGTTTTATACAGTTTTGACCAGAAATATACATAATTTTCGCTAAAATTGTCAAGGAACATTATCAAAACAAAAGCAAAATATATTGTTTAGTTCCACTTTCACCACAAAAGTCTAGCCAGGCGCGAATTGACCAAAAATTATAGTTAGAACAATTTTGGAATAACTTCACATCCATGTTTATCCCTAAATATTTAGACAAAGCAAAACATTAAGCGGGTATTAGAATTCTAGAGAGGCAGCCTGGTAATACCACAATCACCCACGTTCCATTAGCCTGATGTAGAATAAGATATGCAAATGGGCCCTGCACTGTGGAAGGGATTAGCTCTGAGCATTAGCGACAGCCCTATTAATCATTTGCATTTTTAGCTTCGACGCAGATCTGGTACAGTCAAGCCCAGAGTCATATGTCCAGTCTATTTCTGCTCCACCCAGAAGACAACCAACGAAGGGAGGGGGTATTTTTATAGATGACATTCCTTTATATAACCAAGAAAAAACTGCATTTAGGTGATTATTGCTGTATTTGAAGGTCCTGTATTACGTCAAACTGACTCTTGTGAGCTTCAAGACATGTTAGAATGTTGTTACCTCATCAAAAACAGACCACGAGTTGTGTTTGGTTTTCAAGTGAACAGCTCCGTTTACCTTTTCTTTATTAGAGTTTGGCAATTCCAAGGGCTGAAATCATTGAAGCGATTTATGTTGTAGAGAAGAAATTAACTTAAATATGCAGGGTTTGTGCGTTAAACATGTGTGAATGAAACAAAACACAACTCCAG